AGATAAGCACATCCCATCACATGCAGGAGATTGGAAAGACATGATTCAGCATCCACAAAAAATGTGGTCTTTGTTTTAAACTTCACATGTTTGTTCCTGACTGTTAAAATGAGAGTGAACCCCAAGCTAAGAACCAAAGGTTTTCAAAAAAGGTTGAATAAGGCATATAGGTTTGGTTAGATATTTAAAGAGGTCCTAAAGGGGTTTAAAACCAGCAGCTCCTTTTTTTTTTTTTTTTTTTTTTTTTTTACGGAGGAAGGTATAGAAGTGGAAAACATTAAAAACTCCTGCCAGTATGCCCAGCTATGTCTGTCTAGACAAGATCACTCAAAAAGCAATGCACAGAAGGCCATAGAAAGGAATCTAAATGTTATCACCAGACTAATACCAGGTAACCTTGCCTACAAAGTTAATTTTCACTGGGTGTTTTTTGCATTTCTTAAAAACAAGAGAATCCCTCTTGAACCGCACCCACTTCAACCCTTCAAAACAAGTCAGCCAAACACGCTTTTTGTATTATGGTTTAGTAGGGACTTATGGCTAAGATGGAAGAAGTGTTGAGCCCACAAATTAAAGATGGCAGCGCAAAAGGACACATGCATAGCTTCTGCTATTACATCTGTTTTGTCAGAATCCCTGATTTCATGTTTGAATGTGGAACAGCAAGAGTATAACAAGGTCAAGATGTGGTTTCTGAGGGGCTCAAGCCAAATGCATTAAGTTGCAGCTCCCACATCCTGTTCCTTGCTCCAATCGCCCACCTTTCTTGGGGTCCGAAGTAAGAACACTATCAGGGGCATGAAGGGTTCTCCAGACAGCCTTCAACCCTATGAATGTCATTTTGCGATGGACACACATGAATGATGTTGATCAACTTGGGACTACAGCCTTGGGGAAAAAATAAGTTACAAATATTTAGCATAAGGATGAAACTCTCCATGAACTCTACATGAAGATGAGGATATTAGCATGTTTCACACACGATATAAATGAAATAATGTTTAATTATTAATAATGTTTAATTTTTTTCAACTTTGTGTAGTGGGCTGTGCCAGTTTGGTCAAGGATCATATAATTCTTAACCGCCACAAGGGAGTTCAGAAGGCCCCTCTGCTGAATGAATTGATGGAAGAAAGCATCCTACTTCCTGGTTCTAGCTCCTACCTCACTGCCAGCACTATTTTGGAAAGCACTACAGCGACATCAGACACAGTTCTGCCGTGGATTAAGTGTCCTTACGATTTGAAGTATTTGGATTGAACCGTAGCGTCTCTACGGACATTTTCATTTGTGACCTTGATTGCAGCAGCGGCTGGTGGAGTTTTCAGTATCAGACGTATACTAAGTTATCACACCAGTATTTCTTTATAAATTAGCAGCAACAAAAAACATTATAAAACACTTTATAAAAAACAACAAAATAATTTCATGTACAGGTTTAGGCTTTGTGGAGGCAAATGTGTGTAATATGGTGTCAAAAACCTATAAACATTATGTACCAGTATAAAAATGGAGAAGCTATTCAGTCTTTATATTTTTTATATATAACAACTGTTTATTTTCTGAGAATGTGTTTATTTAAGAGCAACTATGCAAATTAACAAACACCTAGAAAAAGTACAATATATTATGTTATTTTCCATGTGAATCCCAGATTGTTCATTATTCTTTGCTTTTTCTAAAAAGTGTTTTAAATCACTCCTACCTGTCTTTATCTATGCTAGGTCAGATCCTGACGTTTTAAAGAGGAGGCAGGAAAGCAGAATAAAGCTTTAGCCTCGCTGCATGCAGTTAGCCAAGCCTTGTAGCTAAACTAGATCCTCTCCAAGGAGACCAAAGAGAGATTTACCGTCTCCATCTCTCTTTGGACTAACTACTGATTAATTTCAATGTTTGGCTGATCAGGTCCAAAGCCTTTTACCTGGAGCTTCTCTTGGTAAGTTTGCTTTAAGGGACCTCACTTCCGCTACTCCACCTGTCAATCAGCTGCACTACGACTGTGACGAAAGTTCCTGTCAGCTCTCCTATACCTTTGCATTGCAGGGGAGCTACTGCGCATGTACAACTTTAAATGAGAGTCTATGGACAAAGAATTTTGCACCCCAGGGTGGAAATACGTCACCAATGCGACAACAAACAGCTTACCATGTCCTTAAAGAATATTTATCTTGCACATAAAAACAATGACTATATTTCAAAATATTGAAATTTTATAATTTAATTATCTCTATTGGCCAGCCTCCACTGCTTGATTGGCTAAAATCAAACTTTGGCAGGAGGGCACTATTCGCTGCTTTTGTCTTACTGTCCTCTTGACAGGCACCCTGACGATGTCTTTACTAAAGCTCTGGTCTATAGGCTGGTATAGAATGATTGGATTGTTGACTCTCCCTAATGGTCTGGAGTACAGTTGTTATTTAGACCTAGTTTTCAGCTTTTTTTGGTTTGGCTACTTTCAGCATGTTTCCTTTGCATGTGGTTTGTATATTTCAGTGTATGCAGGTTCCATTTAGTGCTTGCAGTACTTTTTATGCTTTCAAACTACATGTTTTGCAAATTGGATTCAACTTTAAATTTGTATTTAAATTGCCTTTATGTACTTGAGGTGTGTTTGCACCTCTCAGCCAACATAAAAAAAGGTTGCACAAGCTTAACACTTCATGGGAGGTTTGCAAGAAGGAAGATATTTCTCTCTAAGAAAAACATTAAAGTAGGGCTGATAACTAAGGGTGTGGGAGACAATAAACCAATTAAACAAATTATTAGATAACTCGTACTCGTCATCTCCGGAACCGGGTCGAGGGGGGCAGCAGACTAAGAAGAGACTCCCAGACTTCCCTCTCCACAGACACCTCCTCCAGCTCTGCTGGGGGAAGCCCTAGGCGCTCCCAGGCCAGCCGAGAGACGTAGTCTCTCCAGCGTGTCCTGGGTCGTCCCCTGGGCCTCCTCCCAGTGGGACGTGCCTGGAACACCTCCCGAGGGAGGCGTCCAGGGGGCATCCGAAGAAGATGTCCGAGCCACTTCAACTAACTCCTCTCGATGTGGAGGAGAACCGGCTCTACACTGAGCCTCTCCCGAATGACCGAGCTCCTCACCCTATCTCTAAGGGAGAGCCCAGCCACCCTGCGGAGGAAGCTCATTTCAGCCGCTTGTATCCGGGATCTCTTTCTTTCAGTCATGATCCAGATTTCATGACCATAGGTGAGGGTAGGAACGTAGACCGACCGGTAAATTGAGAGCTTTGCCTTTTCGCTCAGCTCTCTCTTCACCACGACAGACCGGTGCAGCGTCCGTATTATTGCAGCAGCCGCACCGATCCGTCTATCGATCTCCCGCTCCATTCTTCCCTCACTCGTGAACAGGACCCCAAGATACTTGAACTCCTCCACTTGAGGCAGGGACTCTCCTCCAACCTGAAGGGGACAAGCCACCTTTTTCCGATCGAGAACCATGGCCTCGGACTTGGAGGAGCTGATTCTCATCCCGGCCGCTTCACACTCGGCTGCGAACCGCCCCAGTGCATGCTGTAGGTCTTGGCAGGAGGGAGCCAGCAGAACTACGTCATCCGCAAAAAGCAGGGACGAGATCCGCTGGTCCCCGAACCAGACCCCCTCCGGTCCTTAGATTATTAGATAACCAAAGTGGCAAAATGAAAAATAAATTTACAGTAATTATTTCTTGACAAACACAAAACTGAGGAGACTTTAGATATTAATTCAGATTTTCCAACTCCAACGTTTGCTAAATATTTATTTAATCAAACCTTTATATATAGTTCAAATGTATATAAGGTATTATTAAAAGAGAAAAGCTGGCTGTATTCCAGAAAGATAATGTAAAATTTTACTCTTTTTGTCATCATGGCTTTGATCATCTAAACACAAAATGTTGCTGCAACAGCAGCTGCACTGGTACTAGGCGGAGGCAGCTGTTTGGATCTAGATGGTTTTTACTGCCATTAAGTAACAGACACTCAAGCACAGAGGAGTTAGTGGAAATGTTTGTGTCCTTCCCAAGTCATCAAATTACCTCTCTACACAACTCGCGGGTGCTTTACACAGTGTCATCTCATTATGAGCAGTAAAATAGAACCAGAGGATGTTAAACAGAGCTGTTAGAGTGCAGAAAAACATCACAGAGTGTCTCATGTTCTTCAGATAATTGGGAGCTTGGCACATGCAGCTGGAATCCAATGAACTGATGCATGCTTTATGAGCAAACAAACCTTTTTGATCGACATGAATATGGAAATTCTCATCACACGTTTACAGAAAGCAACTGAATTTACCTGTATTATTACTATTGTACCATCATAATACTGGTATTCACAAACTTGTTCAGACCTTCAGATGCAGATAGTAACAAGAGCTTAGAATAAAATAACAGGTTATAGAGAGCTATCAGTCCTGGATCAAATTTCCAGATAAAATCAAACCTATATCGGTACAAATTGCCTGCATAAAGTAATGAGTTATGCAGACAGTGGGCCATTTTTCTGCTTACTGAACCTCTTAAATCTTGCAATACTTAGAATTTGATCTGTAGAAACAATTGCTTTATTAAATTGGTGTGGATCAGTAGTTATCTTCATTTCTTTTTTAATATTCCCTTTGGATTTTAGGCACTTTTCAACTAAAACACAATGAATCCAGGGCCAACTTGAGATTCCTGCACAGTGCTGTAAATACTGCTTATGCTAGATGGTAGAAGCATATACAAACCAAGCATAAGAAAAAAAACACTGTACAGTACAGTATTTAATTTGTTCATTTTCTGAACTCTGTCACTTATTCTGTTATTTTTATACACTTTTTTTAAAGGTCCACATTTGTGTGACGACTTTTGCTTTAATCTAATCTACTAAAAAACTTTGTTCTTCTCTGAAAGCACACATTTTCATAATAAGTCAGTTAGTAAAACCTGTATGATTTTTTACAGCATAATAAGAAATACTGTAGGATGCAAGTGTTAAAACCAATCTGCTCCTATCTTCTTCTAAGGTCTGCTTGCTGACAAGACTCATTTGGCCATAGAGGAGGAGGAGGATGACAGGAACCTCAACTACAATCCTCCGGCACAGAAGACACTGCAGGAGATTCAGGAAATGGACAAAGATGATGAAAGTCTGGTGAAGTACAAGCAGACCCTGCTGGGGCCAAAAGCAATGACTGCAGGTCAGTGAATGTGTTTTATTTTTTTATTTATTTTGCTTACCTGTTGTTTGCTTTGGTGTCTGTCCTTACTGCAGAGTTCATAAAAATACACCCTCACTATAGGATAATTGCATTGTTGCTACCTCTCTAACACACAATGCAACATCAGACGTGCTCTCCTCAGCATCTCTAAGCCAGGAGCCAGGCTGTGATGTAGCTCTGATTCCTTGATGGCTGTAACACAACACCACCTCCTCTACAGACTAACAGCTCTACAGTATATTCAGTCAGCATCACTGTAAACCAGAGTACGGAAAAGCAAAGATGGGAGGAGATATAAAAGTCTACATTGTGGCTTTTAAGTATTTGTAGGAAAACTAGTGAGCCGCTAAAGGACACCCTCTGAACAAACTATTATAGTTTGAAATTAAAGCAAGAGTAGCTTTTACATTAGAGTTTATAGAATATGAAAATAATATATTTTTTATCCTTTACCTCTAATTTCATCTAAAGTTTTTAGTTTGTAGCTCAATTGAAAAAGAATGAATGAATCTTTTGTTTCCACTAGATGCCTCTGAGCCTAACGTCAGAGTGACCAGACTGGTCCTGCTGTGTGACGATACTCCTGAACCGCTCGTCATGGACCTCACAGGTACCCCATTCCTCCCTCCTCAGCGTCTTGGGTGTAACCGTTCTTGCTCTCTGATCTGATGTACTTCGCACTCTGATTTCTAACAGCAACTCTCTTCAATATACAGTAATGTATTATTTTTTCCTATAATAGAAGAACACCATAATCCCTAATTGTCAAGTGGGTAAAAAATAAAAACTCTGTATTATTCCTCGCTCTATAATGCTACCACTACCGTACTTCCCAATGTGGATGGTACAATTAAGGTTAGTTTTCTGCTCCAAGGACTGTCTGTGTATGTTGGACAATAAATGCAAGTTTTTCATCATGTGACCAAAGCATCTCCTGCTACACGTTATTTTACCAACATAGCTTGGTTTGTCTTATATCTTATACATGTTCTTTCCATAATGGCTTTCATCTACACCTGGTAGTGGAGCTGAGGATTATTTCTGTTTTAGTTTGTGCCTTCAACATAGTTAAGGAGTTCTTTAATTAGGATTTTAGTGCAGTTAGTGTCTGAGTTAGCAAAAGGGGTTTTGGGGGTCATTTCTTCATGCATAGTGCATAGATGCTTGCATTGTGTTGATGACTTTCTATCAGTCTGTCATACTAAACACGAATATGGCAACAGCAGAGAAGAAAAACTGCCTTATAGCAGTAATAAACCTCAAATCTCAGTGTGAACGGCCTTCTGCCCTTGGACATTAATTTTTGCATATATTAACTGTCATTTCCTCGGTGAGATTCACCCCCTTCTTAATCACAAATACACATATTTAGCCACAAGCCACACAGCCCTCAGCTGGGAAAGGTTAGCTGGTTGCTAGGCATTGCGAAGCACTGTGGTGGTTTTTTTCTAGAATACAAACATGGAGCGATTGGATATGAAACATTTCAGTATGTGATGGAAAATCTGTACCATATGGAGTAAACAAACTGTTTAAGCCAGACTTTTCTACAGCTCTAAGATCTCACTTAGATCAGATAGAGGATGTGACAAAAAAATCATTTGAGTAATCGTCTGCAGATCGGTTTTAACTTCAGCTGAGATTTTACAGTCTGGCTGGAATTAGTAGTCTGATCAGAGCTAAAGGAGCCTTCGTTGCAAACTGCAGCCTTTTTTTATGGATGTGTTTCATTCAAACATTCGGATGGGTTGGCTTTAAAATATGACAAATATGTAAAAGGTTGATCTAATGTCTCATGAAGGGAATCACTATTTCTGATTGGGTTTATTGGACAATAAAATGGTTTTCCCAATCAGGTGTGTTACAGAAAAGAGCACTTTGAGTGTTATACATGTTGCACACTGATGTGAGAATAAAAGCCACTATGGTGAAAATTGTAAATGTTGCTGCTGTCATATTTAGGGGTTCCCGAAGCCAGTCGGTACAACTTGCTCAAAAGCAGGATTCTGACCCAGATTCCCCAAAATAACAGTAAAGATTTAAACCACTTAGATTCTTAAAACTAAACAACTTCACTTATAGATGCTTACAACTAAACTACTAACCTTAAAGAAGAAGCTATGTTTCCCAAAACAACCTAAAAAGCCAGATCATTGTTTGCAAATGCTAACTATGTGAAAATCGTGTCAAGAAGCAGTTGCCATAGTGATCACCGTTGCTTATGAAGGAGAATCTGTCTATTCAAGCTTGGGAACACTTTCCCAATGGTGGGTGGCATTATTATGAAATTCAGGTGTTATGCTGCAGGAGGGACTTATGCTCTTAATAAATAGAAGTAATCAGAAGGAAAGTAGATAAAAACTGAGGCAAAAACTCAGGATATCAGCCAGAACATTGAAGTGGTTACATAAATTAATAGTTCACATGGAAATTTCCATTTACTGCCATGTATTGTTAAATACATAGTGCATAGATATGACATGAAGGAAGGAAGGAAGGAAGGAAGGAAGGAAGGAAGGAAGGAAGGAAGGAAGGAAGGAAGGAAGGAAGGAAGGAAGGAAGGAAGGAAGGAAGGAAGGAAGGAAGGAAGGAAGGAAGGAAGGAAGGAAGTATTTCAAACTATTGAAAAAGAACACAGATAGAAAGTCACATAGAATCCTGAGCCTAGAACTATTTTTAGAAGGGAAACAGGACTGAACACTGAAAAAGATATGAGAAATTTGATGTCTCTTTTCAGTTTTCATTAGAACTCCGGCTGCAGCATTTGAGATCAGCTTAAGGCTGTTAACTACTATTTGTGGCCAAGTTATTTCTAATTCTTTTTAATAATCTAGAGGTAAAAAAAAGGAAATACTACAAACAAATTTATTATGGGAATCAAATGACCTGATCAAAATTAATGGCAAGGTTTTTTTATGGTATCATTGGATGCCAATTTAAGGCCAGATAAGGTGACTGACTGAACAATTTTGCTTTTTAAAGACTCTTGTCTGTCATCAAGGTGTTATGGGGTCAGACAAATACATCTAAGTATCCTTAGCATAAGGTTGGAAATTAATCCCATGTCTTCTTTAACAAACTTAACGCATATTGTTGCACTGACCTGCTAATTGGTGGCAGCCCAGGGTGGGGCTTATAGTGTGCACACCTTAATTGCTTTGCCTCACATTGGTGAAGGCATGGGCAATAGAAGCAGCAAAACATTTTCCTTACATATTTTCTCTCTCCAGTGAAATAAAACATCTATCTATCTATCTATCTATCTATCTATCTATCTATCTATCTATCTATCTATCTATCTATCTATCTATCTATCTATCTATCTATCTATCTATCTATCTATCTATCTATCTATCTATCTATCTATCTATCTATCTATCTATCTATCTATCTATCTATCTATCTATCTATCTATCTATCTATCTATCTATCTATCTATCTATCTATCTATCTATCTATCTATCTATCTAATATATAATGCCTATAGCCAGATCAAAGCCAAACACAATCAGACTAATGCAGAATAAAAAAGAACAAGAGAGCTAAGCAAACACCTCTCTTGTGTCTAATGATTACATGTCTGTAGTCTCTGCATGATTCTACTATCAGACTGACAGCCTGCCATGTTGTGAGATACTTTCAGACATTAGGAGGATTTCCATTGACTCTTTACTCGTGCAAGGAATATACACTATATTGCCAAAAGTATTTGCTCACCTGCCTTGACTCACATATGAGCTTAAGTGACATCCCGTTCCTAATCCATAGGGTTCAATATGACGTCGGTCCACCCTTTGCAGCTAGAACAGCTTCAACTCTTCTGGGAAGGCTGTCCACAAGGTTTAGGAGTGTGTTTATGGGAATTTTTTACCATTCTTCCAGAAGCGCATTTGTGAGGTCGCACACTGATGTTGGACGAGAAGGCCTGGCTCTCAGTCTCCGCTCTAATTCATCCCAAAGGTGTTCTATCGGGTTGAGGTCAGGACTCTGTGCAGGCCAGTCAAGTTCATCCACACCAGACTCTGTCATCCATGTCTTTATGGACCTTGCTTTGTGCACTGGTGCACAGTCATGTTGGAAGAGGAAGGGGCCAGCTCCAAACTGTTCCCACAAAGTTGGGAGCATGGAATTGTCCAAAATGTCTTGGTATGCTGAAGCATTCAGAGTTCCTTTCACTGGAACTAAGGGGCCAAGCCCAGCTCCTGAAAAACAACCCCACACCATAATCCCCCCTCCACCAAACTTTACACTTGGCACAATGCAGTCAGACAAGTACCGTTCTCCTGGCAACCGCCAAACCCAGACCCGTCCATCAGATTGCCAGATGGAGAAGCGCGATTCGTCACTCCAGAGAACGCGTCTCCACTGCTCTAGAGTCCAGTGGCGGCGTGCTTTACACCACCGCATCCGACGCTTTGCATTGCACTTGGTGATGTATGGCTTGGATGCAGCTGCTCGACCATGGAAACCCTTTCCATGAAGCTCTCTGCGCACTGTTCTTGAGCTAATCTGAAGGCCACATGAAGTTTGGAGGTCTGTAGTGATTGACTCTGCAGAAAGTTGGCGACCTCTTCGCACTATGCGCGTCAGCATCCGCTGACCCCGCTCCGTCAGTTTACGTGGCCTACCACTTCGTGGCTGAGTTGCTGTCGTTCCCAAACACTTCCATTTTCTTATAATACAGCTGACAGTTGACTGTGGAATATTTAGGAGCGAGGAAATTTCACGACTGGATTTGTTGCACAGGTGGCATCCTATCACAGTTCCACGCTGGAATTCACTGAGCTCCTGAGAGCGACCCATTCTTTCACAAATGTTTGTAAAAACAGTCTGCATGCCTAGGTGCTTGAATTTATACACCTGTGGCCATGGAAGTGATTGGAACACCTGATTCCAATAATTTGGATGGGTGAGCAAATACTTTTGGCAATATAGTGTATATGTATATCAGGAAGCATGATTAGGGAAAAGAACTTTAAAAAAGAAAAAAGGACTTTAAAAAGAAAAAAAAATAACAATATAATTTATAATAAAGGAAATAAATAATAATAATAATAATAAAAAAGCTTTTTTTGTGGTGTGGTGTGGATGTATACAATATGTTACCAAATGATATTCATCTGAAATGGATTTTTCTATTGGACAATAAATGCATTGTGGTGCTCTCACAACAAAAGTGATTTCAGCAGCCAGAGCAAGCAATTCCCATTATCGTTTTGCAGAGGGCTTTTAGGAACACAGCGAAGCAAAGGAAAGTAAAGCGATACAAAACAAGGTGTGTATCTCTGGAGGATCCAGTGGAGAAGGAACACTGCTGCTGGCACCTCCTCCACTCTTCTGCTATTCATAATAAGCCAAGCACCATATCTCAATCTGTAAAATCCTAATCTCTTATGATAAATTACAACAAAAAACAGTTAGAAGCTAATTTCATTTGATATCATGGAGGAGAATTATCGCATGCGAGTTGCTGGCAAAAGTTTAAATGAGCAACAGAACCTAAATGTGACGAGAAAGAAATCCTGAAATTGGTGGGAACAAAACTTTGGATCTTATTAGAGCCCTGTCAGAGACAGATGAGGCAGAGATGTGCATGCTCATCATTAAAGT